CTATTCTATTCTATTCTATTCTATTCTATTCTATTCTATTCTATTCTGCAATGGTCATAAATGTGAACAATGGTCATAAGTCTTTTTTTTTCAGTGCCACTGTAACTTTGAACAGTCTCTAAACAAACTGCTATAGGTTGAGAACTATTTATATAACTGTTAAAAATGTTAAACAACTGCCTCCTCAATGTTATTCTTTTGCTTTCACCGTTGATTTTAACTCAACATACTCCCAAGTAAAGTCTTAAAACTGGGCACATTTTATAGGGAGTAAGATCCACGGAATTTTTTTAAAAAGGCATATAATTCAGTGAGATTCAGTGCTGTGCAATGATTTAAGGTTAAGGACTAGGAGCTGGGGTACCCAACTTGTAATCCTTAAGCATGAAAGCCAGGTGGGTGACTTTGCCAATCATTCTCTATTAGCCCCAGGCTGGGGGAAAAGAAGCATATATATTTATATTTTTATATGTATGTATTTATAAACTCCCACAGAACCAATGCAGAGATTACATGAATATCTTACACTTGATAAGACTGAGCAATAAGAGCAAATGTCTGCCCAATCATCTAGAGTAAACAAACAAACTCCCATTAGAGTTCACTACCACATCCACACTCAAGGAACCCTTATCATGATTCTCTGATGTCCCAGAGAGCAGAAAACCAACTCTGAATTCATTTAGCATTTGGCCAAAAAGAGGAAAACAGACTCTAAAGCACTATGAGTTTAGGCGTGCATTTTCAATGGGGAATCTATGTAATAAAATGTTTAAAGACTGGGGGTGGGTGGGGGGAGATTTAATCTATTCTAACCTAACTTTTATTAAGGTCAAAGACCAGCCTAAGGAGGATATGGTGCAAGAAATTAAAAGGCATAAAATACCACAAAATAAAATTACATATAGAAAAGTTAAAAAGCATTAAAAAAAAAAGATTGGCCAGCAATCAAAACTATGCTGAAAGGCAAAAAAAAAAATCTTCTTGGACATTTTGATAAAAAAAAAAAACTATACAAGGAACATTTACCTGGCAGAATATCCTACACCCAGAGGCTTCCTTTTGTGCTTCCGAGGGTCTTTCCCCTGTTGGTTGATTGGGGAGGATGAAAGTTTCTGATACTGTGGGCTTTGCTCCACATTTCCAGGGTTTTCATCATCACCAAAGCTATTATTTTTTCCCCTGAAGGGTACATCCACCAAACCTTGACATTTCCTCAGAACCTTTTCCCACGCAGGAAGAACATGTCCATCACCCGATGCACAAGGTGGGTAGGGAAGGTTCACCAGGTGGTGGAACAAAGCCACTGACACCTGTGCGTCTCGGGCAGCATAATCAATCTGAGGAAGAAAACCAAGAGGCATACCTTAACATATTCATCAGCATCTTAAATACCGAAGAATACCCGAAGTGAATTATCCCCAAAAACAAACAGAATAAATTTTAGTTGTAAAATTAAAAAAAAAAGTTCTTTCTTATGCTGCTAACCATAGACCAAAATTACCTCACTATCCATCTTTTAGGCCAAGCCCTCCTGATGTTTGTTTATTTATCACATTTCTAGATTGCCCATCTCCTTCTGGGTAATGTTACTTTTATCTCACTCCCAGACTACTGGAGGTGCAGTGTACATCTGAATTTAGCTGCTGTAAACAGCATTGGAACCAGCATTCTCTTTTCCTGGCACAAAACTCACCAGAGAAATATATAGGTTGCCTGCTTTTCCAGACAGAACCGTATGCACATGCCTGTCTACAGAGTAGTGAGTTTAGGGCCAGGATACTGGCAGATGATCTAGACATCTATCAAAATCTGTCTCTCTCCTTTTTCCTGTCTGGTTTAGCCAATAGTCTTCTTCCTAAGGGAGAGAGATTGGTGGTTGTTTTTCTCAATAGTTACTGATGTCAGGGAACCCATCAAGCACTTCTCCTAAGTCATCCCACACTAACCATGTGAGGAAAGTCACAGTTTCTTGACTTGTTACTATGACAGAATAGTACTGAGCCATAAAAGCATCAAAAAAAAATCCACCAGAAGACTTTGGTGTTACCTCACAGAAGGAACGTCATGAGGAATAGCATTATTTTACTTAGAAGCATCCCAAAAAGATATTAATTCCCATATTCAATGAGATTATAATACACACATAACAATCCACATTTGCTCTTCAAGATCTCTTCACAGGAATCTGGCAGCAAAATGGATACAGCAGTAGTTGTTGTCCCACCACCACCACCAAAATCGAGCTAGAATGGGAGTGAGAGCCCAATTTCAGCCCATGTTTTGTTTTGGGGGGAGGAATTAAGGACAAGAATAGAACCAAAAGCAGCTGATTAAGCTCCATCTGTTTCATTAAAGTCACTATGTCACTGAATTAACTCTTGGTCCACCCAACCCTAAAACATAAAAGGGCTATAATAATTTTAGCTAAGGATTTCTAGTCATTTCCTGTGTTCAAAGATTCCCCATTTTTGAAAACCTGTCTTCCTACCACTCCTTCAATTGGGAAGAGGGGTCTGACTGGCAAAATGAAGGACCAGATAACAATCAGGAGTTACCTTCTTTGAAAACTGCTTCTACAAAGCTTACAAAGAAAACAAACCTGTTCTTGAGTTAATTGCTCTGCTTCCCAATTGCTGCAGCATAAGTGTAGAGATTTGTCAAGCGAATACTGGAGAAGCTTTTCGGCAAGAGATTTCAGGCTGAGCCCATTTGTGGAGAAGGTCTTACTTCAGGGTTGTACATAGAAGAAGAAAAAAATGCCCTTTATCCCATCAAACAAATGCTTAGGAACCAAGTCATCATTCTGTCTGTCAATTTGGGAATTTGATATTTAAATTATCAGCAGCTAACCTTTTCTTTGGTTCTTTTCATAATTTATCCATTTGCCTAACAATGGGAGAAAGCTTTATGTTTGTACAGCATGCTTAACAGGGGCATATGTGGGATTAAGTGGGTGTTTTAAGGCGGGCAATTAGGGGGCCAGGAAAGAAGAGGGCCAGCAGAGATAGCTAGAATGAGCGAGAGCTGTAAGTTCAAGTGAATTTCTAGTTTTCAGCGCAACTGTTTTTTTTTTCCCTTTTCTGATAAATGTGGAAAGGGCTGGTAACATAATGAAGCCTTGCTAATATCCTTTTGGAAAAAAGGACCCTTGTGATACCAAGCACTCCTGGAGGAAATCAACAGGGATACTGTACTCCACAAAATGAAGATTTTTGACATATGGGTATAACTGTGTGCTGACAAACTAGCAATAGACAGACCCGACTAGCTGAATAACTAATTGGGTAAAATATATTGTGTAAACAGGGCCTACATGTACCTCAAAATTTAAAATAAATAAGGTACAATTTACAATGAAACATTCCCAACACTCCATACTTACTGCATTTAATATTCTAGAGAATGAAAAGCCCTAAAATTATGTTAAATTATAACCTTCTCAGATAACAAAATGTTAGGAACATTCAGAAACACAATTATGCGGAAACCTCAATTCAATAGATTTTTGGGTGTGATGGACAAAATTTTCATCTAGACACCCTACAATAACAAGAGACATATCCATTGTGTCTGTGAATGGGGGACTTTTAAAATACCAAACCAAAAAATTCTATTGTATTTCCCACATTCACTGTTATTAACATAATTTGTATGATAATACCGCTATATAGATTGAGTCATTCTCATGAAATTATATTGTCAAATGATATAATTTGTTACATTTGCATAATAATGTCACTATGCCCCAATGATATAGTTTGCAATGTTATTGTCATTCAGGAACAACAGCCCACACTCTCATCACAAATGATCTGTTAAATCAAGGTTACGCAATACCTGCCCTCTCAAAGATACATACCTATGTCTTAAGGCCAGATAGCGGAGGTCCATAGTCCCTTTGACTGTTACACTATAGTCATGAAATAGCTTACTGGCATCTTCCCAACATCCTACCCCAACTTTTAGGATTTTGCCATCTGCCAGAACTTCAAGCAATGCCTTTGGAAGAACTTGTCCCCCACTAGTCAGCTGGGGCAAACGAAGGAGGAGACAAAGGCCGTTACAAGCAGCCAATTGTAAGAGAGAAACAGGCTTGGCCTTTTTCCCTTCCACTGAGACCTAGAAGGAATTCAGAAGAAAAGAATGACGGCAAGAAAAGCAACTGGGCAACCTAGATTATGTCAAATCCACAGACAATTCTATGTATTTTTAGTAATACCAAGTATTACTAGATCTGATCCCTATGCCTAAATATTATCTGTTAAATATTCGCTACATAATCCAGAAAACCTTCTGTTGATTGTAGAATGTTCATAATTAGTTGTTCATCTTGCAGAGTCTCAGAAGAACTCTCATCTCCAGGTTGTGATACCATACTATAAATAAGCCAAGAATATCAGGTCTAAATATTTCAGATAAAGATCTAGCAGTTTCCAATTGTGTTTAAAATCCTGGCTGATGATAGTAATTCTATTGTGGAAGGAGGACTGCAAATCCTGTAATTGGGGTACAGAATAAGTTTTTCAGTTGGTTTTTAAGTTAAACCAGGTTTAGAAGGTGAGTTTTTTCCACCCAAATTGCAAGTAAGAGAGAAATCATCTTACATCAGCAATAGAAAATAGAAAAGAAAATAGCAAACAGGCGGAAGGACAGTGTGCATGTCGGTAAAGTTTAGCTATGGCTAATAACTGGAGAAGAACTGATCACTTGGTGCCTTTTAATCTATGTGGAGCCTATTCAGAGCTTCTTTCTCTTCTGCCTTTCTTTCCATCTCCAATTATTTTCTTCCCTTGCCTCATTTCCATCCAGCTGGTACCCCTTTTTTTCTTTTCTTACCCATTGCAATTACCCATTTTCCTTACTCTATCTCCACGGAGGGAGGGAGGGAGAGAGGGAGGGAGGGAGGGAGGGAGGAAGGAAGGAAGGAAGGAAGGAAGGAAGGAAGGAAGGAAGGAAGG